CTTTCACATACTTGGTCGTGTCTGCACAGGGGACAATGCATGTTGAACTTTAACGGTCGAGAGAGTCGGAGGACATGGATCTATAATTGATAGCTATACGCGAATTGTTAGATATTTGTATATCTTCGTGCTAAAATTGGCACAGCTGAGAGTTGTAGTAACGAACCGATGTAAGCAGTAGCCCGTGGTGAAGTGAAGCCGACAATGTGCTTTATACACAATGATTCCGTGTTGATTTCCGGACAAGAGGATAAATTTTCTTTCATCAAGAATTACTGAATCAATCAGTATAGTTACTTCAATGTCTGACGTAAAAGGAGCGAGAATACACGACAAGCGGACGCGTTGGAGAAACAAATAAAATTCAATATTATGCATAAGAGTGTGAAATTATATAAGCCATAAGTAATTGAGTTATTACCCGTCTATAATGAAATCAGTTTAGTCAGCAACTGGAAGGAAAGCAAGAGAGACTGGAGACGGAGAAGACAAAGTGGAGTGTCCAGTGGTTTGTGACCGGTAACCCGTTGTTGCTCTATTTTAGATAACCGCTGCATATCTTGCCGCATTAACTCATAGGTCCCCCTGGCTGCTATTACATTTATAGCTCATCATCCCCGACAAAATGGACAATCGTTGATTTATCGTCGATCTTCGGTAAGGTGACGCATGTAGTCGGTATTAATACAATTATGACAGTTGGAACGCGCACAGATTGTCTTGAGGAGACGAAAAAAAATAAAAACAACATATATTACTTCTACGAATATTCGCTCGTACTTTTCACAACCATCAGCTAACTCTGACAAATTCCTACCAAGACTTAATCCAATACCAAGATCGGTCCAAATCTTCACTCTTAGCGATTATACCAAAGCTCTTTTTCAAGCAGGCTTTATATCCAGCATGCCAACGCTACAAGCGTTTTGGATTGCATTCAGTTGTAATCTTATGCATTAGTCCTAATTGGCAGAATACTGCCTTCAGTGATCACTCACAACCGTTATCCCACCTTCGTCAATTATCATGTGACTCACTTATTATTATCAGATCAGCTGGATTACTCTCTCTCTCTCTCTATACTCCTCTCTACAATTGGAACGCATGGTTTTCAAATACTTGATTGTACGCTGGAATTATTTATTTCCAAGGTAAAACAATCTCCTATATTATTGTATTATTCATTAATGTTATCTAATTTGATGTTAATGTTCGTTTAATTGTATTTTTAGGAATTATGCTATGGTTATTTATGGAGTTACGGAACGACAGAAACAAAGAACATACAATCTTGATACACTATGCCGATAAGGGTGAAAACTACATCCTGCCATTTAATCTTAGGAGCACAATAAGACAGTGGTATAGGGTCCTAAGCCCATTTGGCCACTTCCCAAAAAGTACTAGGGGAGCTTTTGTGCCTATTCTGCTTCACTGAGATCATGAATGCAGAATTTTATGTTGGGAATGAGGAGAGCCATTTTAACAGAAATTGGTGTGTGGTGGCTCTTCAATTTTTATGGGCCAAACCTTTTACCTTGTTGTTTTTAAATTTGTACTGAGGAGAACCATTCTACCAATTTTATGAAAATTCTTAACGCCGTTATTAACGCCAAAAAAAAGAGAGAAAGACTTCCCAACTTCGGAACTCGAATTGCTGAATTAGGAAACAATTAATGAAATCAAGAAACTAATCGACGAGGGAAGTCAAATGATAATTGATAATCTTAACAGAAATTGGTGTATGATAGCTCTTCAATACTTGTGGGCCAAACCTTTCACCTTGTTGTTTTTAAATTTGAGGAGAACCATTTTACCAATGAATCACCATTGTCAGAAATTGGTGTATGGTAGCTCTTCAATTTTGTGGGCCAAACCTTTCACCTTGTTGTTTTTAAACCATTTTACCAATTAATCACCATTGTAGCTTCATAATTTTGAACCAAATTTAATGATAATTTAACAGAGGATATTCAAAAGACTCACTCCTTCAATAGTTATGAGTTTTTAAAGTTTATATATATCCAAGATATTCTAGCAGACTTTTTTTAAAAAAACATACCAACGGTAGTGCTTTAAATATAAAGTAAATAAAAGAAAACGTTATTTATTATGTCCGATAATTTAACAAAAAAGTTTCCGTAGTAGTAGAGTATAAATTTGTCGATTTATTACCCAAAATATGTGCTTTAGTAAAAAATTTTATCCTCATATAATAATAATAATAAATGTAAGACAAAAACTTAATACACAGTGAAAGTCGATATAACGGATTTCGCTTAGTACGGATTTTTTTCGATAAACGGAGCTTAACGAGACATTGTTCAATATAACGGAATTATAACGGTGTCACGATATAACGGATTTGTGCACTGTCCCGAGGAATCCGTTATATCGACTTCCACTGTGTAGTTTAATTACAATTGATAATAGTTTATTTGGTCTGATACTAAATTTCAGAATATTTGCACCATTACTTGCTGAGTAATTTAAATTTGATCTCATGGCAAGGTTTTTCACTGTAGGGTTTAAAAATTGTTCGTTTCTCTATTCTTGTTGACAGATTTTTCTTGCAGTCCTTACTGTCCTTTTTCGCGAAAGCATGGCCAAAGGCAAAAAGCAACCCCGCCAAGGTCCAGCCGAACCCCAAGACGCAGGAATAATGATCGAACTAAAGTCTAATAAGTAAAGCTTACGCTTAACTCGCAAGACATCGAGCACTCGTCTTTTGGTCGATTACGTCAACATGATCTTTGTCTTCAGCGACAGCTACAAGTGTACGTATTGTTTTGAATAACTAATTGCCTTAACATGATTACCACTCTTCATTCCCACCGTTATCTAACGAGATTTATCAAACCTTTCCCCAATACCCTTTCTAGATCTCGTTCCAAACCCCACTCGTCTTCTAACCTACCAAGCTCTTGTAATTCTCCTTCATATACTTCCCAGTACCTGGTACAGCATCATAACAGCCGAGCTATCGACTCCGTGCAGCAAGAATGGCGAACCACTCGCTAACCTCGATGTAGTCGAATGTATATTTGCTCAAAAAACCCATCCCTGCCAAGTACGAGAAGGATACGGTGTGCCTGATCACCGACCAAAGTTTAGACTCGGCGGGCAAGCCATTTTGCCTGATTATACTAAGGACATGACAAGTTCGGTGTAGGAAATGAGAGAACTTCTGCTCCTATTCATAATAATTTTTGCACTAAGAATCATTCTTTGGGCTACAATTGTGTAGAGCTCGATTCTTTCCCTTCCAAGCCGTCTGTTCGTCTTAACCCAACCTATAAATCAATCTTTCTAGACTTCCTAGATCGTAGTTACATCGTTGGTCTTCCTCGGTCCCATATGTTGATCAGTGTTAGTCAATCTAATATAGTATTACTGCATTGTTGTCCGCGTGTTAAAGCGTCGGATATTGTTAAATTGCTTTGGTGGATGATGGCGAAGAAAGGATCAGAGAAAGCTCGAGAGACATAATAGAGATAAAAAGGAATTACTTTATAGTATTTACTTCATCTTCCAATCGTATTGTTCGCATAGTTGCGTAAATTATGCGCATGTTGACTGACTGGTTTCTTAATAGTACTTCTTGAGCGGTGAAACGTCCAAAAATTGTTGTTCCAAGAATTAAATGACACAGCAGACCCAGTAATACTAGTAATAGGTGAAGCGTTTCTGGGGATGAGGCCGCTGTAGGGTCGTAATTGTGGCAGCAGCAATGTATTACTGTGCTATCAACATTATTCCAGATATCCTTTTTGCATCGTAGTTATGCGTCGTCATATATGGAGCCATAGAGTTGTTGTGGCTGTTGTATGTAATTGTGCTGTTGTGCGTAGCGGTGATAGCTTGTCAAACATACCCGCCAAATTCGGTAGAAGAGCAAGACATGCCAAGATTGCAAAGTCTGTTGCGACGCATAAACATAGCTGATCGTCAGAAAATCATCTGGCCGTTTTTATCCCAAAATCTTATTATGATGATCGGCAAGGATTTTAGGGTACATATCTGAGATTCTTTTGTTGTGCTACCGAACTTCTAACTGCACCCCAAATCACCAACTACCCATTTTCATAGATCCCCATTATATACGAGGCGAGGCAACAAAAAAAGTTAACAGATTTTTCATCAAAGAGAGAACCCACAATTCATAAGAGGTGAACAAATTGGTTTAGTTTATATGGAGAAAGAAATAAAGAGATTTTTATTATTAAGATCTAATTCGAGACAAGCGATAAGTATCGTATATAATATCATTACATATGACGTCGTTATTTAAAACCCTATGATATCCAACCCCGCGTATATCAACGAAATTGGCCGGTCCCGTGTATTAGACTGTATATACATGTCAGTCCTGTTGTTGTACACATCGGCCGTGAGCTGATTATAAGAATCACAATAATAGGTGCAATCGAGATCTTTGTCTTCAGACATCCATTTTGCTGAAGCATCTTTGGTAATTTTTTTAAAGTTCGGCCGGCAATTTTGTTAGGGATTTTTTGATTCTGCTTATTTCGTCTTGGATGTCGCTGGTAGTTCTTCACCGTAGAGCCAATTATATTTATTTGTGTTGTTTATTATGAGATCATTCCACAAGAACGTTGAACATATCGAAACTAGATGCTTAACAAACATCAACCGCAGGGTATGTCAAACATTTCCATCTCATTCGTAAGCACATTAGATGCTTAACGCTCCAGTTGATAGAACGTAATTCGAACAAAAGTTTCTTATAAGATAGTGTCGTCGACTAAAAGTATCAGGAATTTGTTTATGTTAATGACACCCTTATTAAAAGCGTAAAAAGCATCTATTCCACATGCTGACGTAGGCGAATCATTCCACAACTTCACGTCAAATGGTGCATTAGTTCTGACAATCAATCGACGACTTGATAAATGCTTATAAACATTATGGCCTCTGGATCTTTTATTCAGAACTGACAACATAGAGCCAAGTGACAATTCCGCTGACCAAACCATTTATTATGCAATGTTAGATACTTACGAAAGCAACATTCCTTGATGCTCTAGGTTAACCGGTTTTATCGGTTTGTGTTTACGTGATTGGTTCAGTAGGGCGCTTCATGCTTGAAAAAGGAAGGCATGTCACTACGTCATATGGAGAAAATCAAACAGTTAGTCTCTTATTTGATTTATTGTTTCTTAAATTCCATCTACATTATATTTCTAATGCATACTACATTATTTTCTTATTATCTTATTGCTCAATTCTTTTTCAGTCCGTTTGGTTTAACCATTGAAGTAATAAAATCAATCTTACATCATTTATTGGTCTTATTCATTCCCATGCATTGATTGATGGCATGGTGATGAATATATAAACTGTTAAACCTTAACAGCGTTGTATGTGTGGCAGCATTTTTTGTCGTACGCAAGGAATCATCGAGTTTTATGAGAATGTACGACTAAAGATATTTGACGTATGCGGCGGTAGGGCCGTGATGGTATGTGTGTGGCAGTAGCACAGTGTTGTGAGTTGCTAATAATATGTGAAACAGAAGATAGTAAGTATCTGATGATGTCTGTTAGCAGATGTCACCGACAAACCAATGATAAGTAGTAAAGCTCATACTTACTAACTCATTATCATAACCTTCGGTTAATAACACCGCCGCCTCTCCTATGACTAACTCCTCTTCTCCTATGACTATTTATTACATCAAAGCGTTAACATGACAGACTTCTTTCACTGTAACAATATCACGTCAACTGACAAAAATACCAACCATCACCTCTTACACTCTACAGCAGCGTGCCGAAGCCGCTTATTTTCAGTGAGGGGGTATCAAACAAGCTAAACTACAACCCAACATTTAGAGTAAACCTTTTTTAAATCAAACGGCACGTGAATTGAGAAACAAATCAATGACGGTGTAACCGTAGCTGTAATACACGTAAAATAATTTTCCGTTTACATGGATGTTAATTGTACAGGAATCTCTGGAGAAAATGTACAAGAGAATGCAGTCACTGTGTGCACAAATGATTTGGCATTCGAAAATTCCGATTAATGTGTTGCGAATACTTTAAGCTGTAAGTGAATACTAGATACTTAAACTGTGAATTGCATACAATAATAGGAAATTCGCGAAATGGAAATTATTGCAATTTTGAAAATCCCTGTAGTAAGCATGAACTTTCCTATTATTACTGATTGTCATGACACCCATTAGCAATATTATTTCAGATGCTAACCGCTCAACTCTATTTCATGACTTCTAGGACTGGAGGATTTTACTGGATTCACGAGCGCGTAAACGCGAATAGCTACAATGCACACTATTCCGACCAGCCAATGTTCCAGATTGAATAGCAAACTGACACGTGAAATCGAAGAAAACCACAAGCGATGGCGCAATTAAGTCTAGAAGATAGTAATGAGATGGATTGGAAACAGTATATCTAGGGAAGGTTTTATTGGTTAAAAAGAGGATGTGTATGCGTCAAATGGAAACACTGACAAGCCAGGAGATGTCCCTGTCCTTTATGAACTACATCGAGTATGCGCTACGACGAAGAACCGGACTATGACATCAACCAAAGACACGCAATGCCACAAACAATGCAAATCCCAGACACAACGACATCAAACCCAAGACACGCAAATGCCACAAATAATGCAAATCCGCAAAGGGATTAGAAGAGACAGGCACAACTTCTGTGAGAGGAAGGCGATATCTCGGATGAAAAATAGTTATAGTATTGTTATCGATGTATCGGTGTAGTCAAGAGAATAATGACACATCAGAGCGTAATCCCAATGCTATCACATTATGTAAACTACCATGTAACGAAATGAGGCATCCAGAAGCGATTGCTGCGGTGTCATCATTCACCCCATCTAATAACCAAAATCAACGGCAAGCCTGTAGCTGTATACATCCTCCAAGCCCGTACACGACAATCTTTTGCCAGAATTAAACTAGAGGTTATACTCTGCCTGGAAAATCCTTCATGGCTCGCCAGATGCTTCTCGCAGCTCGCCTCCCATCCTGATATGGATTTGGGTTGACGGATTAGGAAATCGGTATAACGATAATCATAATACTCATTATTACGGCTGATGCAAAATATGGAAATTCATTAAGATTACCTATCCATCTTTACAGCATGGACCGTTGGCATTGGTGGAAAGCGACGTCACAGTGAACAAAAGATGAATCAACCCTAGTCTTCAATTGATACCATCTGCACGTCTTGGACATCTTGTGGAGATTAGCGCTGCAAGTTTGACAAGCTTTATATGGCTAAACGGGTTCGGTCCAGAACTGATCTACGCAAGCAGAATTTTAGCTTATCGAAACTTGATTTCGACAGGTGAATGTGAGTCATCGTGCTGGTGGTTTCTACCCTGACGACTGGAAGCAAGTGATTGAGGGATGGATCAAATCATACATGATCATGATAATAAGAGAAAGATATATAGAAGCCCATGTCAATCGCACATATAACCCCGGTCCGATGTTCATCCTCGCAGTCGAGATTGATTCCGTCATGGAATGTAAAGGGTTTGAAGGAGTGCATGTTACGAATGTCAGATCATTATGAGCGATTTGTGGTGCAAAACTTTATGTTGGAGTGCGGCTGACGGGTGATGAGGATGGTTAAAGCCTTCACACGATTTCGTAATGTCAATTGTGTTCACGGGTTTTATATCAAATATTGAGGTACTAGTCAGCTGATGAATTGTGATTATAGTTTTACGAGCGTAGACTAAATCTAGCGTCTTTTTAACTATTATTTACTTAGATGACTATGAATTATGTTCACTCGTGACTTTTTGTTTTGCGTAGAATGGACATTCTTTCGTCAGACCTCATGTACGATCTTGAATGGCTAATGAACGATAATAAATCTTGGGAGGTCAGGTCAGTCCACGGTATAGAATATTATCCGGATATGCAATTTAATGCACCGTTAAGTATACTATCTGAATTGACATTTTTTTCTGCAGATGATCCCAATGTTTCACTCAGACCAAAGTTGACTCATTTCGCCCGTTACTTGGGAGACAGCCGACAAGTTAGTCGAACAGCTTGCGGTCTTGACATACAACATTAAAAAAGTGATAATCAAAGATTACCTTATATCACTCTGTTTCTCAATAATAGACTTGATTTCAACAAGGTTTTGTATCAAACGCGTCAGTCTACAGACGAACTCAACTGCAAGTGGAAGGAAAGCGCTATGCTGTTGGGATGGGATATTCAGAGGAGAAGATGTCGGAATCTATGATAACATTGAATTTATATTATAAGAAAAGCTTCTACGCTTCTAATTAGACAACAACAAAACGACAACAACAAAACGACAAACAAAACGACAACAAAATGAACCCGGCAGTCAAACAATTCACAAGTTCAAACTGTAGTGGTGCGAAGATGTTGATCTACGGAAAATAGAAGCCGGTTTTTGTTCTGACTATGAGAAACCAAGGATCTGCCTGCTATCGGTGGTGTAAATTTTGTTAGGATGTACAATAGATTTAATTCTTAGGATTTCAAGTAAGTAGGCTATTAGCCTCGGGTGCTGCACATAATATTTTTGGCTATATCTTGCATTTTACTCTTCATAACAATCTTATATATATTAGCCAGATACAAATACAAAGAGGTAGCATATTTTTTTGTGCATCTTAATCTATGGTCATATTAATTATGTATAATCGTTTAGGGAAAAAACTTTGCAATATTCAGATTGGCTATTATACTTCAGCAGAAAGTGACATTCCAATGAAGCAAATACTTCGATAATTTATTTGGTTTTAGCAACTATTTTATGTAAATATTGTACATGAGTGAAGAAACTTTCTAATAAAATGTCTGTATAAAGTATATCATCACAAACTGTTACTTCATCAGACTGAAACTATATAATACATTTTTGACAATTATCGAAGGAAGAAGAAGTGAAAGCTAATCTTTTATAACACGTCTCCGTCATGTACCGCTTGGCACATGACAACAACCCGGACCATCACCTTCCTCATCCTGCTTTGCCGACTCCATATACTTGGTAAGTACGACACGACCCATCATCTTCCATATACTTGGTAAGTACGCTGGCGATTATTGCCAGGCGCCCAAACAACTAATGATGAGGATTGGCTGCAGGTATCCTCAGTATTGTCATAAGACAACTTCGTCCATCCCAGTAGTAAAGCCGTCAACCATTTCCCCAATGCTAGCAGCAGCAGATACCCTGCCTAACGTTGAACAACTTTGAGGCGCTGTGCAGCACCAGACCAAATAACAACACTATTTTTAAAAACTTTCATTTATTTGGCCCAAAATATTTTCTGATTGAGGTACTTGCCGACCTTGCTAATTTAGCAAGTACCTTGAAAAACAGTTTTAAAAAACTGGTTTACGCGTGGTTCTTCATTCTTCCTTGGGACCTCGTTATGGATAAAACCGCGCAATTCTGTAATAGTTCTTCCAATACGTTTCTTTCGTGCAGCAGGCCTGTTTCTAAGGCAGAGCCCTCTGGGCAAAGACGGTACATGGATATATATAAATATATTACATATAGATATATTAATATTAAAAGTGGTAGACGCATTAGACATAGACGATATTACTAATACAATTACACGTGATTGCAGATCAAACATAAGCCATTGACGAATTACGCGATCCATATCATGTCAGATACTCTTATAATTTGTTTCTTAATACCTTTGAATCTCAAACGCGAACAGTTACAATGCAAAGTTCTGGGTTGAAAACCACTGGCTTGAATCTCACGTGAACCAATACCATATTTGTTGAAATGGCAAGGCGCGACAGACGTAAGACGTTGATGCAATATTAACGAAATCTTGTAGACATAAAGCACTAACATTACGCACAGTTTGACAGCTGGTTAAACCTTTCAATGATGGTAGGGACTTGAATCGATGATGTTCAATTTTAATAAGTGTCTCTAGACTCAGGTTTAGCTGCTTATATTTATATAACTCGGTTGTGTAGACACATTACGGCTATTAAATATATGACTGTAGCACAGACTTGTCATTGATGAGTAGCGTAGAGAAGTGGAGTGCTAGGTGAAAGGGTGGTATCATTATTAAACCATGATAGTCAGTGGCTAGTTATTAATATGAGCTAGGGAAAACTGCATTAACACAATAAAATAATGCTTCGTTACAATAATTTACTCGTTACATTACTGTCTAGAGCGGTTTGAGATATATCGATAAAAGTTTCATGTTATAAAAATAGTCTGTTATCATATGAAACATCAGCATAAAAAGTGTGCTTAATAAAGACCTCGAAACCTCAGCATAAAAAGCTATAAATAATCGCGTACTCTTAATAATGTGATTCAAAGTAATATGCTTAGTCCATCGGCGCAAAACAACAATCTTGCCAATGCTAGTTTATCGAATTATAATACTATACAGATGAATGCGTCTATCTCTTTTTTTAGGTTGGTCTGTTTTTATATGCACGTCTCCTTGCATTTGACTCCTGTCGAGCAAAAAACTTTCAATATCAAATATCTACTTTTACTTTTATCAGCAAATAGTGTTCTTTTTTTTTATTGCTTTAGACTACCAAAGGTTTCTCTTGGCCCAATGATTTTGCACATACGGTCATCAATCCGAATATACCGATACTAAATACGCAATATCTGTTATATTCGTGTCACATTTATTTGTATATAAATACATACATTGATCCACGTTCTACATAATATTACCCTTTCTCACGCATACATAATATTACCCTTTCTCACGCATACATAATATTACCCTTTCTCACGCATACATAATATTACCCTTTCTCACGCATACATAATATTACTCTTTCTCACGCATACATAATATTACTCTTTCTCACGCACACATTGATCCGCGTTCTACATAATATTACCCGCTACATAACATTAGCGTTAGTACTCTCTCGCATCGCATATATTGGTTCACGCCCTTCCCTTGCTTACGAATATGGAAACTTTAAGGCTCACACGGTTATATACAATAATCGAGTAGCGTTCGAATTCTATCAACAAGGCGCTGACCTGTTGCATAATGTCTTGTTGGCGCGTGCTATAACGATGGAATGTTTGTAGAAAAGGAGGCAGTTGAGTTATTTCAAAAGCGGCAAACTAAAATTATTCCGTTGCAGAATATAATCTCGCCGTATGTTATTATAACGGAGCTGGGATAGAAAAAAATGCCCACAAGGCGTTCGATCTGTATCAAAAAGCTGCTATACAAGGTCTGGCCAGTGCACAATATAATCTTGGCCTCGGTTATTAAAAAGAGGCCATGTCCTTGCACACTACAGACTCTGTTTGTGCTACCACTTTGCAAGAGATTAAGTTGGACGGAATCGATGTAGAAAGACTATCAAAAAGCAATCACGTTAATTCAAAAAACTGCCGAACAAAAACATTTCCTTGCTCAGCTTGCACTCGGTTCGTGTTATTGTACTGGAAGCTGATCACCAAAAAGCAGTTGACACGGTCTTGTCAGTATACAACATAAAGTGATTATCGAAAATTGCTTAATAAACGGTTGCTTGTCGAGGCACAATGTACAACACAATTTGTTTATACACCATAGACAAAAATGCAAAAAATGCAAAGTAGATTATAATAACTAAAACTGTATAATAGTTTTCTTCTGCGCTCCCTCACCGTGACAATAGGGCCCTGTAGTGTCGATGCTTAGCGAGAGGCCACCGACTTAGCCAACTTTATTATACTACTTAAGTATATCTTTATGATTCTATCTTTAAGATCAGACATTATTGTAACCAATTATTTCTTTCAGAAAATAATTTCCTTCTTGCTAGACGAATGATTTCACTGTTGCTAGACGAATGATTTTGCGTCGACTATTATTTTTTATGATTCGCGTTTCGTAGTACTCTTATTCGCAGACTTACATTGGGATCGTGTCTCGAATATATCTTAGGCAAACAGATATATTCTCCATCGGCCTTTCTATACTATCCGTAATAATTATAAAATATATAATAATTAAATAAGAATACAACACTTCAGATTTAACCGCTACTTTTAATGGCCTATTAATTTCGTTAATAGGAATTAATAACATCGCCGTTACGAAGACGAATAATATATCACCGAAGGTCAGGTTCAACAGATATTCCTGGTAAAACGAGCGGACGAAGAATGCCGCTCATATATAAAATATCTAATACCCGTTATACATTATATCGTAGATTATCTCGTTAATGAAGGTTAATTTCAGTCTCAATATCAATATTTCTCTTTCCACTGTAATGCTCCGATTGGATTTCATCAAGAATATCCGCATTTCGCTTCGTGTCTCTATCACACCCTATGGCTCCAATACTCTACTAACATTTTGGCATAGGTTCCCCCCATTGACGAAATAATATTTTAACTTGAACAAAATAACAATAAATTTACAATAACGATAAGTTCACAATAACGGTATTTACAATAACGATGGATTCACAATAACCTTTGTTATATATTACGAGTATCAACCTTTTAACGAGTATATTATTACGAACGCCTTTTTCTGTAATAAACGTAAGGTCTTATAATCGCAATCTTTCTAAGCTGAACACTTCTCCCGCTTCCCTTATTAGTCACCAAGATATTACCACAAAGCATCAATAGACGGATACTCTGCTACTTGTCTTATTAGTCGCGAAGAACTTGTATGCAAAGTGTCAATTCAGAGAATAATATAATAGCCGAATACTTCTCATGCCCTGCTTATTAGTCGCCATGATTTTATAACGAAATAATTATTTCCGTAACATGTCTCATTAGTCACTAGGGAATTCTTACATAAAAGTATCGGTAGAGAACAAAATAATACAACATTTCCAATAATCAATAACGGATATTAATATTTTATTATTACAAGAGATGAAGCCACCCCAGGGAAGTGTTCCGCTTTAGTTTTACCCTCAGCAGCCAACTTACTTTTTCCGCCTGGGAGAAGGATCGTTTATATAATGAATTTTATATCACCATTCGAATTCATCACTCTAATACTCAATTTCCCTCCCACTATCTATCAAGTTGGTGTTCGAAATCTAAGTTATACAAGAGCGCCGCAGAATACATCCAAGAGTGAATTTTTGACCAATCAAATAATTCCGTGGTAGATAGCAAAATCGGCTATTTACAATAGGCAGACTAGAGTAAATTGGACGCAAGTCGAAATTCTCGTTCATGTCCTCATTGTGAAACAAGATTCTCAACGCTATGACGTCAGAAATTGATATTGTTAATAATCCGAAGTAATCAAACAGACTTTTCTTTCGGTAGAAACCACAGATACAGCAGATCTCATGGTAGCTCAGTAGCTGGGGATTTCTTGTAGTATATGAAGATGAAGTAAAGCAGGACACGGATGCTCGAATGCATGTAGAGATGAAATATGAAAGAGATATGAGAATGACTGCGGCAACAGAGCCGAGGATGAACTATCCGAGTTTAATGTTACCTGTGAAATTGAACGTAGGAAGGAACTCGGAACACGAGAATTGCAAATTGAATTAAAATTAATTCTTGGCTGCTTTGTTTCCTTGAACCCAAGACTCAAACGAAAGGTCACCACTAGCTTAACGACAGTTGCGTTTTATCATTATTCGAATGCGCCTTTTTCACATAGAGTCAGTCGGCAATAAAGAAAAGAAAGGTTATTATAGGGGTAATTTGCACAAAATGTGATCGATGAGGAATTCAATTATTTTTTATTTTTCATATCAACGCATACAAGAGCATAAAACGCAAGCGACATTTTTGTGTATATACTATTCCGTGATAACGCAAATGCTTGTTCTGTTATATTTCAGGGGGGTTTAATAATTCGTAGAGATACTAGTAGTGTCCTAATATTAATATTTGAGGAAGTCAAGTGACTTAATAAGTAGATTTCGTTTCGTCTGCTTTTGGATTAAAGTCATCACGTGGAAGTTGTATAGTCCTGTACAGGTTTCCAAGATAGTAATAGGTCGCTGGTTTATTTATCCATAAAACCGGATATCTTTTTACACGCAGTTCTTTTGGAAATTCAGCAGGGACACCTATTTTAGGAAGTCCACAGCTTCAGAATGTAACTGTGCTAGTCACAAACAGTTTCCGTGCATAGCACCTACTGCTTTTTTATCCGCATGTGCCATGTGAGCATTTGCAAGATTATCATTGAACACATAATTCACAATGAATTTTTGATATCATTAACCGTAGCCGTACATGGTTTTGGT